CAAAGTGGTGATCTCCATCCTAGACCTAATATCCAATTATGGCGTGCTGTCATCCAAAACCCTTGAACAAACCAGACAAATGTAGTCTACAAGAAAAAACGAAGAAGAACTCAATGGTGACACTGATGGAGACAAAAACAGAAAATATTTCCTGCCTATGCTTCTTGCAAATTACGTCAATATAAATAAATTGGTTTCAAACACTGTGAAGGATTTTTGGATACAAATTAAAAACTTCAATCATTACTTCCGCAACTAGATTTGTTTTCAGTAATATCCCACTAGTTATGCATGCTTGACTCTAGTACCACTCTCCTAAAATTTAGTCCATCACCATTCAAACATGATGCTTCTATAATTGCCGCCATCAAGCGGACACGTCTTGTGCGGAAAAGATGGCAAATAACTCTCCTGCCCCCACAGGTGTGGACGCAATAGACTAAATTGAGGAAATAAGGTTACTATCCAATCATGAATTAGCTCCTAGGTGCATTGTGATGCAAATCCTTCAATGAACAATTAAAGAAGTATTTCCTATTGGAAGCAACGAAGCAAAAGTCACATCTGCACAAAAGGAGATAAAAATAAAACATATTTCCATGGCTACTCTTCTCGCAAATTACACTAAAATTAAATAACTATGGTTGGGAATTTGTAAAGGAATTTTAGGATCATTTTTTCTTCCAAAGTAAAACCATTGCCTCCTAAATTTTTATCATTTGGGAAAGAACAATGATGCCCAGCCGAACCCTCCATAGCAGAAATAAGATTGGCCTTTTCTTTTGAGAAGGTTTAACAGATACTATGGATCGTCATTGAAACAGGTTGCTTCCCTCAAGCGATAGCACCTCACACTTAAAAATGGCACAAATTCTTTCCCCCGCAAATCTGAGGGCAAATAACTACACAATGGTTATTTCCATATTGTACCAAATTAAGGGCTTTTATTGAAGGGGGTGAAAACAAAAGATATTTTCATGTTTGTTTTGCCTTCTTACATATTACATAGCATTAAATAACAATGAATGAGCTAAATGTGATTTATTTTTTCTGACATGAGAAAAATTGGAAATTGTAATTACTTACTACTCTCTCTCATAGGCACCACCTCCCTATCATGGACTTTTTCTGTCTATGACATATGTATCCACAACCCATGCCCTAACCAAGGAACATGGACCAACCATTCTCTGAAAAAGAAATTTTTATTGACTTGTTAGTCATGAAATCGAAGTCTATCTCCTAGCTTAGCAGCTTCTAGCATAGGTTTTACAAAATAAAGACACTAGAGCTTCACCAAACAAAACATTAAAGTGGCAGTCCTCTCACGAAAAAGCCAAAAAAGGCGTCACCTCTAGTCTGAACCAAGCATATGTTGTAATAGAACCTAAGTCAGCAATGAGCACTCCAAAAGTTTTCATACATATTTCCATCGAGAATTTCCCTGCCAAAACCATTGCAAAAGTCCTGACACATTAATTACAATCTATCACACCACTACATGTCCATGGAGTCCGAACTAGTTCTTTTTTGGTGTACGAGATATGTTAAACCACCACTAGTAAATCAAGGTATCAACCACCTTAATAAAACTTGACTTAAAAATAGATCCTCCGGATCCAAATGCCTGGATGCCCTTCTCCACAATCCACACCATGATGTCTTTGAAGATGGCATGTGTGCATTGATTAGATATATCCTAACAATGTAGGGACCGACCGTCCTTCTGAATGTCTGGCAGGACCTTGGATCCCTAGTATAAATGGGTTGCAATAAGGCGACCCTCTTTCTCCTTGTTAATCATTGTAACTGATGTACTACATCAACTTACTCATCATGCATTCTCTATCGAACTCCTCACACAACCCATCAACCATCTCATACCTTTTTTCACAGTAATGATACCTTAGAAGTTAGAAGTTTAAATGTCTCATAAGATGCAACATTGTGTTCCCATATCTAGAAGATTTCAGAGACGCAAGTGGTTTAGTGATTAACTTCTGAAAAACTACCTTGATTTCATTTAAAGGTCGATTATTTCCACTCGTCCCGAATGACCGGCCTATTAGTTCTGTTGTCATGCATCATCCTCCCCCGGTCTTATTTTGTTCAGAAGAATCTTACATTAATAGAATTCATTTCAAATATTTCTGCAAGTATTTTGTTTAAGTGGTCGTTCACTCTACTTGGTCATTCTAGCTCCTTCTTGCCTTCTCCCGCACCATTATCACATATCTCATGTGACTTGTTGCTTGATTTCATGATCACTCACCCACTCCTAACCATAGATCTAAGTCGCTGACTTTCTTCCTCAATGGGACAATGTCACAATCACCATATTTACATTTTCCA